GGGGGAATTCCCCCGTTTATAAAAACTCCTGCCTTTTGGAGTGACTTAAAAATAACAAAAGATTTTGAGAGTAACGGACAAAAAAGAAACGGAAAATGGAAAGAACAGCAGAAGGAGCTGGGGGAGGCCTCAGGTGTAAAATGGTGACCCGGGGGTGTTAGGGGGCGGCTTCCTGGAGACATTGATCACACAAGAAATGGCTTGGGGCAAACGACGGCCCCCGTGTTTTAACCCTTGTAGTGTGTGAGCTGTTTTTTTGTTGGGGATTTGACGGGGTGGGGGTAAGGGGGCCCCTCCTTCCACCCCTTCGGGGCAGAGGGGTAAGGAAAAATAAAGGGGTGGGGGGGGAAAAGGGAAAGAAAAAGGAAAAAGGGCAAGGAGGTTAATGGCGGGGGGTAATGATCAAAAAACGTTTGGGGGAGGTGGAGGGTTTGGGGGTAGTAGAGAAAGGGGTTTTGGGGAGAGGGTGGTGAAAAGAAGGTGGGGTAGAGAAAGGTGGTTTGTTTAGGGTGGTGGGTAAAAAAGGTCGGGCTCCCGAAGGGGAAAAAGGGTTTTTCAGTGTTTTTAGAAAATTTGTTCCCCCGCACTGGGTTTGGGGCAGTTCATCTATTTTGTCTCATAAGCGACTGTGATTTGGTACTGAAGTTATTTTCCCTAGCTGTTGTTTCCCGGTGGGGGGCTGGGTTTTGTCCGCCTTTAGAATTTCAAACATTGGGATTTCCCCCGTCTCCTCCCCAGCAAAGGCACACCCTCAGGAGTGGGCTGACCACCCCGGAAAAAGGTTTTGTTTTTGGGCCGGGGAAGGCCCGTGGTTTCAGAGGGTATCCTAAATGCCTTTATGGGGTGCTACGAGATCCTGTCAGATCTGCCCAAAATCTTCCCCTTTTTTTCCCGATGAAAAGGGTTTTTCCATCAAACTTTTTTCGCTACAATTGTGCCCCCCCTATTTCCAAAACCGAGTCCCCCATCAAGTCCCGGGAAAAATCGTGACCTTTTTCGTTTCGGGAAAGCCAGGGCCTACTCGTGATAAGGGGGGGGTCAAAAGGTACTGGTGTGTACTCGCATGTGTACGGGGTCGTGGTAGGGGGGTGGTGGTAGTGAGGGGGGGGTAGGGGAGGGGGCTGGTTTGCGAGGGTGGGGGTAGCGAGGGGAATGGTAGTGAGGGGGGTGGAGCGAGGGTTTATGATAGGAGGGTTGTAAATGAAGGTTTATTTTAGGAGAGTGGTGGTATGGGTGGTAGGAGTGAAAATGGGGGTAGAGGGGGGTGGGTTAAGCGAGGGGGTGGTAGCGAGGGGGGTGGTAGCGAGGGGGGGTGGTTAAGGGGGGGTGGTGGTAGCGAGGGTGGTGGGAGCGGGGGGGATGGGAGTGAGGGGGAGGGATGAGGGTGATGGTAGCGAGGGTGGGGGGTAGCGGGGTGGTGGTAGGGTGGTGTAGAGGGGGTGGTGTTTGGGGGGGGTTTGGTTTGCGGGGTGATGGTACGAGGGTGGGGGGGGAGGGGGGTTTGGGGGTAGTGAGGGGGTGGTGGAGGGGGAGGTGGAGGTTTGCGAGGGGGGGGGGTTTTGGTTTTGGGGGGTGGGGTAGCGAGGGGGGGTGGTTTGCGGGGGTGTTGGTGTGAGGTTGATGGTTTGCGAGGGTGGTGGTAGCGGGGGGGTGGGGTGGTAGCAAAGGGGGGTGGGTTTGCGAGGGGGGGGTAGCAAGGGGGGGGGGTTTTGGTAAGGGGGAACGGTAATTTTTGGCAGGGAAGAAAATTTTGTCCCAATTTGAATCCATTGTTTCAGAGATTTATCTTGATTCGATTTTCAGCATCCTTTCACCCAAACGTACACTTTAATTTATGCCACCCCTCATCTTGTCTTTCTTTTTAAAAAAAGGGAAAAGTTATTCAGTTGTTTTCCCAAAAATTGATTCTTCTTTGTTTTTAAAAGAAATGAGAATTTGGGAGGTAAAACCACACAAAAGTTTATCTAAATGGGGGAAAAAACATTACCCGAGGGAAAAACCCTTTGGGATAAATCCCAATGAAAAACATTAAAATTAAAAAAGATTACAAAAGACCCAAAATTTATGGGGCTGAGCACACCGACCCCCCAGGGGTGAGGGACTGATTAAAACCCCGAACTCCCCCCACATCTACCACCTTTTTCTGTATTGGGTGAAGAAGTCACCGCTTTGGGAAAGCATTTTTTAAAATAAAAATGCCCAAAATGATGCCCCTGGTGCCTCATTTATAAACCCGTCGGTTTTTTTTAAAAAATTGATTCACAATCCAAAAGACAAAATTAAAAAATATGTTATTTCCCCGAAAAATAATTTTAAAAATTAAAAATTTTTTTTTCATAACACATCTATATAATATGGTTTAAAAAAACATTTAGAAGGGGGTTTAAAAAAATTTCCCCCTCAAGAAGAAACAAATCATGTTCACGACCTCTAAAATCCACAAGATTGTGGTATTTTCCCGAGATCTGAAAAACTAGACGGGGAAAAACAAAAAATCTGAAATAGATACTCTGAAAAAAACCTTATTTTATTTTCAAACTATCCCGGGGAAAGAAAAACAATATTGACCCGGGGGGAAGTTGAAGTGTTCCCTTAATTAAAAATTTTAAAAAGTGAATTATGAAAAAAAGTAGGGGTGTAGTCTGGGGGGAAGTCAAGGAGTGTTGGGCTTTTTCAGGAACTTTTTAGACTTGAAACCATCAAAAAATTTATGGGTTTCCAAAATTAAAAAAAGTAAAAAAACGTTTTGGGCCCTTAATTGACCCGAAATTTTTTGAAAAAACCTTTTGCTTTTACTTTCATTATATGAATTTTAAACTGAGAAAAATTTCCCGGGGTTTCTGTCGAAATGTACAGATATATTTCGGTTTTTTTGGTACTTTTTCGAAAATCGAATTTTTTTTTAAAATTTTAAGAGCTGTCATCCTGCCTTTGCTCATTCCAGAGCCAGTGCTTGTCTGTGGTATACCCCACCCCGGGTCCCCCCCAAAGCATCCCCCCCCCGCATCCCCCCGCCCCCCCCGGAGCCCCCCCCCAAACCCCCCCCCCCCCCCCCCCAAGAGCCCCCCCCAAAAAACCCCCCCCCCATACGAAACCCCCCACCTTTCCCCCCCGGTTTCCCCTAACCCGTTTTTGGTAAAATTAAAGCTGCCAAATTTTAAATTTGGAGCATTTTTATTAATAAAATTTATTATATATTTATTAAAATTATATATATATATATATATATATATATATATATATATATATATATATATATATATATATATATATATATATTATATAACAGCTGGACTTCTGGAGATTCCAGCTTCTTACCGATTTTTTTGTTATTTTGTTAAACGTAGAAGTCTTAAGAGTGGAAGTAGTTGTGGGAGGAGGATTATGAGGATCTGTAGGAAGAGGAGCCATGAGAGTGGGAGTAGGTAATGTAGGGGGAGGATTAGGAGACGTAGTAAGAGGACTAGAAGGAGCTGCAGAAAGTGGAGCCATAGCAGTGAGAACTGATGGCGGATAAAAGTTAGGAGGAGGAAGGAAGAGGAAGCAAGAGGAAGGAAGAAGAAGAAGGAGAGGAGGAGGAGGAGGAGGCGGAGGAGGAGGAAGAAAACAATTTCTCATCACGTATTAAAACTACATAATCGATTCTTCCTCACATTCTCTAACTAAATTGCCAGGCAAAGTTTATGAGCGTGCTGAACACTAATGAATATTAGGCGGAGTGATGATGTAGTGGAGAGACGAGTTACTGCTCACAGTTTGTCTTCCTGAAACAAAAGGGGGAGAGCAAGAGACCAATTTATTATTGCAACTTGAAAAAATAGGAGGAGGAGAAAGTGTTGTAATAGTGATAGTAGCAGTAGTAGCAACAGTACCTGTAGTAGTAGTAGTAGTAGTAGTAGTAGAAAGAGAAGGAGGAAGTAAAAGTATTAGTGGTAGGAGCAGAATTAGTAGTGTTAGTAGTAGTAGAAGAAATAGTAGTAAGAGAAGGAGAAAGAGGTGGAAGGTGAGGAGGAAGAAGAAATGAAAGTGAAACAAGAGTAGCAATAGTTGTACTAATTGCAGTAGCAGCAGCAGCACTAGTTGTGATAGTAGTAGCAGCAGTAGTAGTAGTAGTGTTGATATTAACTCACGAAATCAGAATAACACGATTTTCAATTTTTAGGATTCGGTTATTATGGGTTTGTGTCACCCGTTTTCTGATTATAATCAGAGAACGGGTGTTATTACTACTAATTAGTAGTAATAACAGTAGCAGAAGGAGGAGAAGGGTTAGGAGGAACAGGAGGATGAACAGGACGAGGAACAGGAGGATGAACAGGAGGAGGAACAGGAGGATGAACAGGAGGAGGAACAGGAGGAGGAGGAGGAGGAGGAGAGGAGGGGGAGGAGGGAGGAGGAGGAGGAGGAGGAGGAGGAGGAGGAGAGGAGGAGGAGGAGGAGGAGGAGGAGGAGGAGGAGGAGGAGGAGGAGGGGGCGGACAAATAGAGATGAAGAGGTTCTGGAATATTATCATAGCCTACTAACTTTCCGTAAAAAAACGTAGCTGGCGGCGCAATATTCACTTAAATGAAGCTCTTTCTTCCTTCAAGAGGTATGAGAGAGAGAGAGAGAGAGAGAGAGAGAGAGAGAGAGAGAGAGAGAGAGAGAGAGAGAGAGAGAGAGAGAGACTTAGTTTATCAGACCTGTGTCCTCGTCAGTCTGTCATCGGTGGAGGGAAGTATAATTACACAACGAAATTTGATGGGAGCTTCACCTTCTACTGGATGGATTCGTTAACAAAACAGAAAACAGAGGGGTGAGCTTTTTATCCCCGTAAACCATTGTTTACTCATCTAGAAATACAATCCTAACAGCAGCTCTCTTATTTTGTTTGAACGTGGAGTGTCCATTGCTACTATTATTTTTACCAGTATGTTATGATATTTATAATAAAAACATTCTCTCTCTGATATGATACAGCTGTCCTTGACTAACGGCAAACTTTGTTTCTCTGACAACAGTGACCAAGTTGGTTGGGAGCGACCCAGTGGAGTTCGAGCGACCAGAATATGTCACCGAAGTACCAGAGAACACCACCAGAGACCTGCTTCTGCAACTCTCTGCCCGGGTCCAGTCTTCAGGTGGGTCTTTATCCCGGCACTGTTTCCGGGTTTTATCACTGTCCAGGTCCAGTGCCAGTGGGGTCCTTATCACCGATCCGGTCCAGTCTTCAGGGGGTCCTTATCACCGATCCGGTCCAGTCTTCAGGGGGTCCTTGTCCTGGCATTGTTTCAGTTTTCCTTGTATTTACCACTGCCCGAGCCAAATCTTCACGAAGCTTCTCACTCTGACACTGTCCCTGGCCCTTAACCTGTCCATGTCCAGTCTCCAGGTAGGCACTCGTGATACTAGCTCCAGTAATGTTCTTTGCGCTGTTACTGGTTTGTATCACCTCGGTCACTGCTTCCAGCTTGATATTGTCCCATCGAAATTCTGGAAACTTTACTACGTTAGCACTTATTATCATACTTTCATACATTAGCTAACACTGTCCTTGCCAATCAGAAGTCGTACCTTATTTTTTATACAACATCCTTTGCTTTGTTACAGTATTACCGCTCCTGCTTCAAAGGTGAAAAACTCCAACACATATGCCCGAGATGTGAATGAAATGTACAAATGAATAACCGGAATAAATTAAGGGGATTTAAATAATTTGCTGAAAATATTTAACCAAGGCAGGACTCACAGCAAGGGATTCGATTAATTTAGATTTAGAAAAGGATAAGGGAAAGTACTAGTTTGACAGTAGAGTTGTGAATGAATGAAACAAACTGTTATGTAGATTCACTGAAACGAAATCATTGGGTAGCTTTAAATATAGGTTGGACCAGTATGCGAGTGGGTGTGGTTGGGTACAAACTAGGCCTGCCTAGGTTGGATCACTAGGCCTGTTGTACTGTTCCACTGTTCTTACGTTCTTATACAGGCAATTTACTTTATACAGTCAGTACTCTCACATACTAACGATTTTTCTTGAATACCTGTGGCGTGTTTCGAGAGGTCTGTCTCCCCCCCCCCCCGACCTCAGCGCAGGCTTAATGATTAACCACTTGATCATCCAGGCTGTGTTGACTGCTTGCTAGTCTACATACCATCATAACCCGGCTGATCAGGAATTTGTATTAGTACCTTAAGTAACACCATCGATGTTTTACACTTTCCCACCATCGGTGTTTTGCACGTTCCCACCACCGATGTTTTATTCTTTCCCACCGTCGATGTTTTACACTTATTCTAGCCATCAATAAAATTATAAGACATCTTTCAGTCTATAACAGTTTTGTTTTGATACATCAGCCGCTTCCCACCGAGGTACATAGCTCATTGAAGTTGGTTGAATTTTTAGTCTAAAATTACAGCAAAGTTTGTTTAATTTATAACTAATGTCTACACGTGGAAATGAGGGTGTAAGTGGATACACTGGTCTATCGCTGGTCTACCTCTAGCCTACAACTAGTCTACAGCCAAAAATACTTCGTAAATAGAACTAGCAATTCTCTACCAATTTTGGTCACTGAACATAAATGATCCTTAAAATAGCAAATTTGTAAAGATATGGACTCAGTCCGGTTGATGCTCTCCTTGACTTTTGAAAGGAGGAGGGTAAGTGAGTAAACTAACTGCATAGGGGAAGGATCATGATTCAAGCCCATAATGTGTAATTGTTCGAACTACATACAGATTCCTATGTTTTTCACCAGAAACCCATTTTTTTTCTTTTTGGAAAGGGAGGGGGGAGGGGGATGGAAACAGGCTTGTACTAAATGGATCACCAAATGTGGATTTTACTTTAATTTGGTCCGTTTTTTTTTTTTTTTTGGCAACTAATGACAGAAAATGGCTGATTTACTCAGAATTCAGGTATTACACGAACTTACTAACTGGACTGCATCAGTTCATCCTCGGAACTTAATAAACTCGTTAAAGTGTTTGCATCGACACCATGCCCAGCCCTTCTAGGGTAGGGTAGGTGCCTGAGCCGGAGCTTGCAGCTCACAAGACTGTCATTCCCATTAGCCCCCTTGGGGTGGGGATGGCAGACCAGAGAGGCCTAGCTTGTGGCTAGGCCTGGGGACAGTTGGTCCCAAAGCTAAGGAGGTACTTGTGCCTCCTCCCATGGGAGACTTAGGTCTTAGACACTCCCAAGACAGGGAGCCAAGGTCGGGCCACCACTTGGAAAAGGCCCGGGTCGGGAGAATACCGGCGAATCTTTAATAATAATAAATAAAGTGTTTGCTTTTGACACTGATATTTTTCAGTCAAATCTGGGTAAGATACACGTTAGTTGCGTGAACACTGCAGATAACTTATGCTTTTGGAGAATTTAGTTTTGTATCACAAAATCGTGCTTTAACTTTGCGATTAGAAAAGTTAAATTTTTAAGATGATGCAGCGTTGGAGATCAGGCCAAGAGCTGGCCCCCATACATATGCTGCAATATTTGTGAAACAAACCTTCAGAAAATTATATCTGTCTTCTGTAGTGCCTATGGTGCGGAGAGAGCCAACTTGCTACTTCTGCATGGTGCTCCAGTCAGGATAGGTATATGTAAGGCAAAAAGTGGACTGTATAAAATCCTAATATGCTCTTTGCCAGTTACCTCACGGTGAAGGACTGGGTATTTGAGCTTCCAAATTCCGTCATCCTTCTTGTCAGAGGACAAGGATGACGGAGGCTGCGAAACTTTTGAGTCTTCAACTTCTAGACCTTAAATAGTTTCATAACTTCACATCTAAACCGCGCGTGATAACTGAGAATGAATTAAACGACCTTATCAGGGATTTAGAACTGCCAAAGAGTAAGGCCGAAACGTTTGGGCTATTGAATGCAGTAGTGGAATATCCTCTTTGAAAAAGACTTTAAAGATACATTTCCTTCATTCATACTTTGTTTTCCGGCCAGCTGTGGAGCAGCCAATGATGACCAAAACCACCAGGACATCTCAGTCACGGGGAAACACTACCAGGGAAAAAACAGAGCGTATCATTATTAGCAGAGTACTGCTGAACAATAATAAGAGGTGTCACAAGTGGAATACAGGTGACGAGCAAAAAAGTGTCGCGGTGAATCAATAGTTTATTTTATACATAGGTATGTTACTAATAAATTGTATTATAATCAAAAGAAGTGCTAAACCTACAAAGGTCATACAGCGCCGAATAAATTATACAAGTATGTGCAAAACCTAAATAAATTACCTTGAAAGCTTTAGCCAATCCATTACTGTGGTCATATTCGTTATTAGCAAACTCCCCGCCTTCCTGTGAAGGTTCTGCAGCCCTATCAGAATCTTAAAAAAAGTATTTGATAAGGCTGGTTCCTCCTTCTGGAAACGAAAAGATAGAAAAATCGAAACATAATAAGATAAACAATTTTATTAATAAATAAAACTAGTAAAGAATATAAAACACTTAAACGTGAAATTAATCCTACTTGAAACAAAGAAATGAAAGATGAAAAATATAAATAATTAGCGACTCAAAGCTAATATGTACACAATACGATGTGGAGAAAGGTGCCGTGCCGATGTTCTGGGCACGTAGCTCTGAATCGTGGTTTGGAACACTGAACCGTTGTTGATGACAATGGGAGGGGAAAAGGAGAGGGATTTACAGGTGGACGTGATTGTTGACAAGTAGAGAGTGACACCAACACGAGTAGACATTCTGACGAACACAGGTACTGGATCCTCTGACCACCACAACACTTGTGAAGTAGTTGAGTCGCCAGTAGAGAACCATCATGAAACGTTGGTGGGGTTATAACTGGGTAATGGCTGCTGGAATGACGTAGTTGACTGCGGGTCGGCTTCGAGTGTAAGGGGGACCAGTGTAGGTACAGATGACATAAGGAACGCAAGATCTTTTCAAGCTCAATGTTGCCCATCTTATCTCGCTTGTGTCGGATGACCGGAGCCGACAATCAGGCTAAAATAGATACAAAATTACACACAAATCGAAAAATTACTCACATAATAGGCGTATTGCCTTTAAAAGAAATGGCGAGGATTAGATGATGACACTACACAAGTCCAAAATCAGGACAGGAAGAATTTGCAGCGTGAAAAACTAAACAAGAATGAAGCTCTTATTGAACCCAAATTAACCCAAACACGTAATAAATTAAACAGGAGCGGCATGAATACTTACAGATTTAATGGGAGCCGAAAGTCAAGTGACTGACAGCCTGTAGGAGTAACACTCGTCTCCTCCCACCGGGTGCGGAAGAGGAGGAGGGGGGGGGGGGGAGATAGCAGGAACTATGCACCCACCTAAGAGAACAAGCATACTGCCCTACAAACTACCATCACCATTCATATTACCACCACTTCTATCTAATGAACTTTTCCCTCACACCCCCGAAAATTAAAATGAAATACCTTTTTTCTCCGAAGAACAAAATTATTCGAAATGTGTACGTCAGTGTAATCAGTCTCTGAGTCTCATGAGTGACATGTTTCGTCAACAAAGGTTCCAGGTGTTTCAAATGCGTTTTGCTCATCAAATTGTCGGTACTGTATACCATTTACATGGAAACACTAATGACAATCATCATCACCAGTAATAGTTATTCTTTCCTAGGTTTTCTTCTGGTTTCCTGTCCCTTTTCTGGCTTATTTGGTCCAGGACATACTGAAGAATGAGAAAAACGTGACCAAAAACTTATTACATAGTGTCTGAATGTTCATAATATGTACAGTAAATATTATTCGTATAATATTGTGAACGAAAAGAACTTGGTAAAGAAGTATGCGATCTTGATAAACATCTATTAAATTTAAGGTCTGTTATTTAACCGTAAAATAAATTATGAATTTTTACGACTGAGAATTAAAAATGTAACAGAGCAAAGACTTATTTGCCATTTTCCATGAAGCATGTCAGGGGCTTCAAAGTAAAATTACCTAACCTAGTTACACTTTGCTACCATCATATTTCCATCCCTCACAACAATAGCAACTCCAGTTCTGTTAGAAGGAAATATTTGAAGCTGCCGTTGCTATGGAACAGGCAATGGAATACTTAGTGGTATCCCCGTCGACCAACTAGTCTCCCAAATCAGGCTGACAAATTCCGTTACCCTGAATGCAAACTCTGTTACAAGAAATAAATCTAACAGTTGTTTCAAACATCAGAAAAAATATCAGAATAATGAAAGCATAAAATTCATCAATTATCATTGAAAGCGTTACCTTGTATGGGTGTATTTCACTTTTTATTCTCAAAATTGCTGAATAATCTTTTCAAGTCGATACAAATAGTAAATAAAAAAAAAGCTTCATGTTTCTTCCTATCTTCTCCACCTTTTTCGTGTCTCCCCAAACATGAAAGTACTAGACTTCTGTGTTCTCCTGTCTCAGGCGAGGCTGTGGAGTACCGTATCGCTGAGGGAAATGGCGAGGAGCTCTTCCATCTGGACCCCAGCAGTGGCCGCCTCTCCCTCCGCCACCCGCTGGACTTCGAGGAAACGCAACAGGTGGGTCGAGTTGATTGGTCTTCTCTTGACGCATTCTGTGGACACAAGCCGCCATAACTATATTTCCGCTGCAGGGAGAGTAGTAGTTACACGCATGCTCGGGAGTAAGGCTGTAGTTCCTCTCTTCTAGATGGAGCTTCAGTTGCTCATCTCTTGTATAAAAAAAAACCCTCTATAATTTCCCTCTTGCATAAGGTACCTTCGTAGCTCATCTCGTGTAGGAAGAACCTCGTGGTTCACCTAACGTAGGAAAAAACTTCTGTAGTGTGTCTTGCATTGGTAACTTATATAGTATAACTCTCTCAAGAGAAATTGTAGTTCATTTCTTTTATGGGAACCCGACAAGAGTTCATCTCCTGTAAGAGTTATGGTCAGCTCCATCGTTCTTGTTGTGGCACAACAAAACCCAGTTGCTTTTTTTGTGTAAAAAGATTACATTGAAAATTATCGGTACTAAGCATAAAAAAAATAACTTGTGTAAATACTAGTAAGCGTATGTCGTGCCGTTTAAGCCGAATCTTCCAGTTTGGCCTATTTGGCAAGGGTGCACTTTGCCTAATAAGCCAACTGAAAATTTGTTTTTGTAATCTGAGCAATACGAAAAAATGTATAATTGATTTTAAGTAATAGAAACTAAATTTAGATTAACCTATCATATATACAGACCAGAATTTAACTAAGAAAAATTACTTTAGTTCAAGGGAGATTAGGTGAGGTTTCTATGTTTTGGTCCCAAAAATAAAAATCTTTGTCATTGTCACTGAAAGAAAAAATAGCTTTCAATCTACAAAGAAAACTGGAAACGAATTTAAGGGAGTTCGGCCTATTCGATAAGTTCGGCTTATTAGGTACACACACACACACACACACACACACACACACACACACACACACACACACACACACACACACACACACACACACACACACACACACACACACACACACACACACACACACATATATATATATATATATATATATATATATATATATATATATATATATATATATATATATATATATATATATATATATATATATATATTCGTGCCGAATATGTAAAACTGGTCAATTATAAGTCATTTCTGAAATTTTCTCTTATACGTTTAAAGATATATTTTTTTTATTAATGTTAATGTAAAATTTTATAATTTTGCACCAAAAGAATCTTAGAAAACTTACCTAACCTTATTATAACAAGAACAATTTATTTTAGCCTAACCCAACTAAATATATTTTAGATTTGTTTACAATAATTTAATACTAAACAAACACAGTTAAATATATTTTTTTCGTTAGATTCAGAATGATTTTGGCGAAATTATTGCATACACAAATTTTCACCTGTCCTATATGGCAAGATGAGCGTTGCTTTTTAAGCCAAGATCGCAAGTTCTGCCTATTCGGCACGACATATATATATATATATATATATATATATATATATATACATATATATATATATATATATATATTATATATATATATATATATATATATATATATATATATATATATATATATATATATATATATATGTCGTGCCGAATATGTAAAACTGGTCAATTAGCAAGAACTCATTTAAAATTAAGTCCTTTCTGAAATTTTCTCTTATACGTTTAAAGATATATTTTTTTCATTAATGTTAATGTAAAAATTTTTAATTTTGCACCGTAAGAATCTTAGAAAACTTACCTAACCTTATCATAACGAGAGCAATTTAATTTAGCCTAACCCAACTAAATATATTTTAAATACGTTTACAGTAATTTAGTACTAAACAAACACAAGCAACTGTATTTTTTTTCATTAGGTTCAGAATGATTTTAGCGAAATTATTGCATACACAATTTTTCACTTGTCCTATATGGCAAGATGAGCGTTGCTAATTAAGCCAAGATGGCAAGTTCTGCCTATTCGGCACGACATATATATATATACTATATATATTATATACAGGAGGAGACTGAAATAGCTTGAATCCATGCTTGAGGCTGACTGACGTGCCAGGGCTGGGAGAAACACGGCTTGTGTACCAGGCTGCCCAGCTTATGTGGCATTTGTGTGGCCGAGTGGTCTAGAGCGCTGCCTGGGAATCTGTCCGCCCCAGTAAGCAGTATCGAGTCCTGCTGACTGCGATATTTCTCTCTATATATACAAACCGGCCGTATCCCACCGAGGCAGGATGGCCCAAAAAGAAACATGAAAGTTTCTCTTTTCAAATTTAGTAATTTATACAGGAGAAGGGTTACTAGCCTCTTGCTTCCGGCACTTTAGTCGCCTCTTGCAACACACATGGATTACGGAGGAAGAATTCTGTTTCACTTTCCCATGGAGATAAGAGGAAATAAACAAGAACAAGAACTAGAAACAAAAAGGAAGAAACCCCAGAGGGGAGTGTTTATATATGCTTATGCATGTACGTGTATTGTGACCTAAGTGTAAGTAGAAGTAGAAAGACGTACCTGAAATCTTGCATGTTTATGAGACAGAAAAAAGGACACCAGCAATCCTACCATCATGTAAAACAATTAGAAGCTTTCGTTTTACACTCACTTGGCAGGACGGTAGTACCTCCCTGGGCGGTTGCTGTCTACCAATCTCTACATATATTTATATACATTATTAAATTAAGTAGTATTTAACTAAAATAAATTAGATTAATACGAAGAAATTAAAAAGGTAACAGAGCAAAGACTTATTGCCATTTTCCATGAAGCATGTCAGGCTTCAAAGTAACATTACCTAACTAGTTACACTTTTCAAAGTACAGAAATAGCTGTATACAAGTCCACTCAATCCATATTTCCACCCTAAAGTATTAGCAACTCCTTTAGATTGTAATGAATGTCGAGAACCGACATGTTGATAAATTGGTACATGGGAACTTTGGGAATTTTTTAAAAGGTAACGTTCAACAGTGGCCAACAGTCCATCCATAGAGACACTTGAATAGCGGTGAACTGTGTTTCAACCCTCAACCTTGAGTCGATTGTTTCAGTTATCCAATCTCAAGATTGATGGAACTACCAAATCGACCTCAATGGCCCTGAATGGTACCTCATTCTCCTCCTGTCAACCCCCTATTTAATAAAAGCCACTGCTGGCGAACTAATTTCCTCAATTAAATCCCAGAGTGCCAGTGTCTTAATTTATCACTCAAGATCTTTATTAAGGAAATCTTTTAAGCTGCCGTTCTATGACGAAATGGAATACTTAGTGGTTCCCCTCATTCCATCTAGTCAGTCCAAAATCAGATGTCAAATCGTTTCTAAGAAACTCTATTACATGTATTAATTAGTCATCTACCTGAATGTTTTTCAACATCAGAAAATATCAGAATAATGAAAGAAAAAGATTCATAATTATCATGAAAGCGTTACCTTGTTATGCTGTATTCACTTTTATTCTCAAATTGCTTAACTTTTAAAGTAAATCCAGTAAATAAAATACTTCTGTTTCTCCTACTTTCGCTTTTTTGTGCTCCCAAACATAAAGTCCCAAGTCCTTTTCTCATGTGTATGGCGTGTGTGGATACCTAATGCTAGGGAAATGGAGGACTCCTCAAGCTGGACCCTAGCAGTTCTACCTGCCTCTCTGCCACTTCTGACTTCGAGGAATGCAATCAAAGGTGTCGATGATGGTTTCCTGACATTTCTGTGGACACAAGCCGCCTTAATTTGTTACCCGGCGCAGTAGATAGTATTACGCATTCCCCGATAAGGCTTAGTTCCTATTTTCTAGATGGGCTCAGTTGCTCATCTTGGTATAAAAACCCCTCGTAATTCCCCTTTAAGGTACTTCTAGCTCATCTCGTTAAGGAGCCCATGGTACCTAACCATGAAAACTTTTAAGTGGCTTGAGCTGGTAACTTATATAGTAAACTCTCTCAAGAGAACTCTATTCATAACTTTTACTGAAATCCGAAAAGACATCCCCGAAATTTTTATGGTCAGCTCATCGTTCATTTTGCAAGAACGACCAAATTTTTTTTAGGGGAAAGGATCCATTGAAAATGATCGACTAAGCATAAAAAAAATAACTTGTGTATATATAGTAGCTTTAATTCGTGCCGTTAAGCCGAATTTCCCAGTTTGGCTTATTTGGCGGGACTTTGCTAATAGCCAACTGACATTTGTTTTTTAAATCTAGCAATACAAAATTACATTTTCAAGTAATAGAAACTAATTTTGAAGATAAAAAAATTTATAATCAGAGTTTACTATAAATTACTTTAGTCCATGGAAGATTAGGTCATTTCATGTTCGGTCCCTTAATTAAAATCATTGTTCACGTCACAAGAAAACTAGTTACAATCTGTTAAAAACTGTAAACGTTTCTGGCAGATATTATTGGGAAGTTTGGGCTTATTGTCCTAATAAATATATAAATATAATTATATTTAAATCAACATATTATTTCTTTTTAGTAATATATTATTTTTAAGGAACTTATATATCTTATATTATATATTTATTTAGGCCGAATATTTAAAGGGGTCATTAGTAAGACTTTTAAAATTAAGTCCATTTTTTAAATTCTAAACGTTGAAAGATAATGTTTTTCCTAATTTCAATGTTAAATTTTACTATTGCACCAAAAGAATCTTTAATATTTCCTCCTTAATAAACAAGAAAAATTGAATTTGCCTACTATAAATTATATTTTAATTTGTTTAACGATAGATTAACTAGACAAACAAGTTAAATATTTTATCGTTAGATTCAGATGATTTTGCCGAATTTTATGTATACACAGTTTAAAACCTGTACATATACGTCTAGGAGCGTATGCTGGTTGAAGTCAAGATCGCAAGTTCTGCTATTCGACCATATATTATATATAAATATATATACAAATAAATATATTTAGTAATATATCTATAAATTTTATTTATATAATATAGATCTTTCGTGCCGAATATAAAACTGAGCAATAACTAGAACTCATAAAATTGAGTCTTTCTGATTTTCTCTAAATCCCTTAAGAAAATTTTT